ACTTACATGGATAAAAACACTGGTATTTGAGCCAGACGTTAACTTCACTTAAGCATTTTGGCCTTGGCTTGTTTTTCCTCTCTGAAATAAAAGAACAGTATGTTCTCAGTCATGTTTGATCAAGGTCCTGGCCAGTCCTGCCTTAATATATTTTGCGCCATATCAAAACGTCCTTCATATCTTCTTTTAACCTTTGACTTTTCCGTGAGGTTGCTGGACAGTGATGATCAATAGTGTTACACTGTGTTCTCATTTCATTGGGGTTTGAATAAGAACTGATTTATTATAAATTGTAAATGGACATTTACAGTTTCGTATGCTGATTAGTGAATAAAGCTGTTATGGGTTAAAAAACAGTCATTTTTAAAATTGGAATTAAAATTGGAAAACATACAGTATGGAAGCTTGTTTCTGCCTCAGAATCTTTTTTTTTTTTTTTTTACAGTGACTTTTTATCTCACAATTTAGACTTTGTTTCTCGCATTTCTCACAAAAAAAATGTCAGAACTGTGAGATATAAACAGAATTTTTCAATATAAACACAATTATGTGAAAACAATTCTGAATTGTGAGTTATAAACTCAGAATGCTGACTTTTAATGCTGAGTTAATTTGCAATTCTGACTTTTTTCTCAAAATTATGAGAAAAAAGGTCAGAATTGTGAGATAAAGTCACAACCTTGTTTTTATTTTTTCATCCCATGGATAAAAAAGCTCCAATACAGATGTTTTCCACCAGAATATATATGGAGTGTTGCAGGTATGAATACTTTCACAAGGTTATTTCATTTTACTGTCCTGTTCCTAATTTACATAATATTAACTTATTGTAGTACTTACAGTAACTGGGTAATAACTAGGAAACCCTGAACCTATACCTCTAAACCTAACCTTAACCCATGTAGTTACCTTATATTGTCCAGTACTTTCTTAGTTAAGTACTCTGTAAGTACATGTAAGTATAAACTGACACTAAAATTTAGCTTTACATTTTTTTTCCTGTCCATGCATACTCTAAGTGTGCATTGAAGGATTTCAATGTGTTGTCCTTTAAAAGGGTGGCAATGTTTACAAATGTTTGTCAATGGCTCATTCTCCCATTAAAGTCAATTAGCACCATTGTCCCATGTGTGTAGGAATCAGTGTTTCTGTTTGCAGAGCTCATATGATAACCTAATCTAGTCTTAGGTTTGACAACACCTTGTGCAACTAGTTTCTCCCTCCCTCTCAAGCCCTGCATACACTACACTTATCTCTTTGTCATAACACAAAGTCAAATGCTTATTTAAAGGTCTATTAGATGCTTTGTTTTGTCTTCAGCTAATCAAAAATGCACCAGTCATTTGCATGCACCAAGCATGTTTGTGTGGATCATCCTGTCTTTAGAAATGCCAGTTAGTTGCATACTGACAAGTGCAAGTCCTCACAATTCCTGCATTTCTTTATTCTATATATTTGCTTATTTTACAAATTTTAATGTATTGCTGCACACTTAATGGCACTGATAGCACCATTAATTATACATAACTTGATA